AATCCATCGCACTTGAACTGGCCTCTTATCCACATGTACGTTTTGGTTTATTCACTTTGTGTTGACAGTTTCTCCTTTAAAAGCAGGCTCCAGAATGACCAGCTCTTGACACGGATCATACACGGCTCCGGTTCTCGCCCGTCTCTTTATAGCCAGACCCTGCTCTATTCTTCTAATGGAGGGCCGAGCGTGGCCGGTTGAGGAGCTGTCCAGTGCTGAAATGAAACGCGAGCAGTTTCCAGCCTGCGTGGGGATTTGAGGGGTCAAATGTACAATCAAAATACAAGGTCTACAGAGAGCAATGTGCAGATGGGAGATGCAGACAAACAAATATATATTTGTAAACGACAGCGCTGAGTATTGGGGATTACTCTTTCAGATGGAATCGTGCGGCAGGGGAAAGGAGATATCACCACATGTCAGTTATTCAAAGAAGAACATAAACAATATAGACATAGATGAGTGAGGATTTACCATAGTTGTTTAAGGAGCTGTCCAGTGCTGAAATTGTAAACATAACTGAAGTAATACAAAAATAATAAAACCACTTAAGGCCTGAATAGGGATGTCCCACTTATTAAAAATATTGTGTGATGGTTTTACTATTTAAAAATACAGCACAGTCTACATTAATACAATGGCATAGATCCTGAGGTTCAGTGAATGTGGGATTATAGACCCTCCATATATCCATTTTCTTCCCCTTAATCCATTTGTGGGTCGGGGGGTGGCAGTCAGAGCTGCACCCAGGCCACAGAGCACCAGCCTGGCCGGGATTATAGACCCAGTTTACATAAACATAGGGTAATGCCTTTTGTTTCTTTTCTATTTTTCAGCTCTTTGAGTCGCCTTGTTTGAACTGAGCTATATAAATAAACTTTCCTTGCCTTTCCATTGCTATAATGTGAGCTGTCAAAAATCATCTGGACTTCCCACCATTCCCTCTCTGTGTGGCCATTAACAAAACAATCTGAAAAGAGAAGTCAGAGGATAAACCCGGACTAGAGAGAGTCCGTCAGTCCCAGTCCCCGCGGTCTCACTGGGCAGAGCTCCTCTTTAAAGGACCATTACCTCATGATAGTAACGGCCTGACTCTGTGATGTCTGTGGGGGGAGGGGCCTCGGTCCAGGGGAGGGGCCTCAGTCCAGGGGAGGGGCCTCGGTCCAGTGCAGAGCTCCTCTTTAAAGGACCAGGCGTGAGGCGGCGTGAGGCGGCGTGAGGCGGCGTGAGGCGACGTGAGGCGGCGTGAGGCGACGTGAGGCGGCGTGAGGCGGCGTGAGGCGGCGTGAGGCGGCGTGAGGCGGCGTGAGGCGGCGTGAGGCGGCGTGAGGCGGCGTGAGGCGGCGTGAGGCGGCGTGAGGCGGCGTGAGGCGGCGTGAGGCGGCTTGAGCTTCATTAGTTTGTTTTTTGACCTGATAATCACTGAGTATGACTGCACAGAGGAAGTGATGACACAGCAGAACTCAGTCGGTGTAAAAGCCTGAGGCAGAGAATTATGTTTAAATAAAGATTGACTTCCACAAGTTTTAAGTGGAGACCTCAAAACTCGTTCAAAAACAGATGGTTTTAGACCTCACTGAAAACAGAAGAAATACATGAACTGAATCTTTAAGAGAATCCTGTGAGAAGGAAGCAGTGAAGTGTCTTCAGCACAGGAGTGAGTGCTCTCTCATGAACAAGCAGCAGCTCATGGCCTGCAGGGGGCGCTGTAGTCTCTTGTTTCTGAATACTGGCTTGTTCCAGTCACAGTTTGAATGTATATCCCAAATTTAATGCATTTTCTGCTTTTGATGATGAAGAAATTAAATAATACTTTTAGTTAAATTAAATAATTGCGGTCTTTTGGCGAACAGGAAACTTGTGATTCCGATTGGAGGAGATCAGCCGTGAGCCGGGTGCTTGAATGAATCTTATTTTAGACTCCAATAATGACATTAACACGTGGTTCTACATAAAGTGAGTTAATAAGTGGCGACAAAAGAGATTAAAATGTCACAGTCTGGTTCCTTTGATGAAGGTGTCACTGGTTTCATGTTCGACTCTGGTCTTAACTTCAGCATCCATCAAACGGCAGGAGCTGGAGCAGTGATGAAGACTGTGATGAAGACAGTGATGAAGACAGTGATGAAGACTGTGATGAAGGCAGTGATGAAGACTGTGATGAAGACTGTGATGAAGACTGTGATGAAGACTGTGATGAAGACAGTGATGAAGACAGTGATGAAGACAGTGATGAAGACAGTGATGAAGACAGTGATGAAGACAGTGATGAAGACAGTGATGAAGACTGTGATGAAGACAGTGATGAAGACAGTGATGAAGACAGTGATGAAGACTGTGATGAAGACAGTGATGAAGACAGTGATGAAGACTGTGATGAAGGCAGTGATGAAGACTGTGATGAAGACTGTGATGAAGACTGTGATGAAGACTGTGATGAAGACAGTGATGAAGACAGTGATGAAGACAGTGATGAAGACAGTGATGAAGACAGTGATGAAGACAGTGATGAAGACAGTGATGAAGACTGTGATGAAGACAGTAATGAAGACAGTGATGAAGACAGTGATGAAGACAGTGATGAAGACTGTGATGAAGACAGTGATGAAGACAGTGATGAAGACAGTGATGAAGACTGTGATGAAGACTGTGATGAAGACAGTGATGAAGACAGTGATGAAGACAGTGATGAAGACAGTGATGAAGACAGTGATGAAGACTGTGATGAAGACAGTGATGAAGACAGTGATGAAGACAGTGATGAAGACAGTGATGAAGACAGTGATGAAGACAGTGATGAAGACTGTGATGAAGACAGTGATGAAGACAGTGATGAAGACAGTGATGAAGACTGTGATGAAGACAGTGATGAAGACAGTGATGAAGACTGTGATGAAGACTGTGATGAAGACAGTGATGAAGACTGTGATGAAGACTGTGATGAAGACAGTGATGAAGACAGTGATGAAGACAGTGATGAAGACAGTGATGAAGACTGTGATGAAGGCAGTGATGAAGACTGTGATGAAGACTGTGATGAAGACTGTGATGAAGACTGTGATGAAGACAGTGATGAAGACAGTGATGAAGACAGTGATGAAGACAGTGATGAAGACAGTGATGAAGACAGTGATGAAGACAGTGATGAAGACTGTGATGAAGACAGTAATGAAGACAGTGATGAAGACAGTGATGAAGACAGTGATGAAGACTGTGATGAAGACAGTGATGAAGACAGTGATGAAGACAGTGATGAAGACTGTGATGAAGACTGTGATGAAGACAGTGATGAAGACAGTGATGAAGACAGTGATGAAGACAGTGATGAAGACAGTGATGAAGACAGTGATGAAGACTGTGATGAAGACAGTGATGAAGACAGTGATGAAGACAGTGATGAAGACAGTGATGAAGACAGTGATGAAGACAGTGATGAAGACTGTGATGAAGACTGTGATGAAGACTGTGATGAAGACAGTGATGAAGACTGTGATGAAGACAGTGATGAAGACAGTGATGAAGACAGTGATGAAGAAGGATAATGGGAGGAAGCACTGAGGTTTCTGTGACGGCTCTGGGAGTATTTGACGAGATCAAAGGTGTTTTAGATGTTCGTCTGCAGCTTTGGACTAAACAGGAATCTGAAATCTCTCTCTGCAACTTTCGGAGCGAGAGAGAGCTCCTTTAATGTGTAGCTCTCTTCATCAGACTCGGAGGCATCAGAGCAGGACAAAGCAGAGCACTCTGCATCAGTGTCAAAGCACAAACATATCAACATCAATAAGATCTTATCACAGGAGGTCTGTGTTCGAGTCCCAATAATCAATCACATTTCTTGGGCATAATGTCTCTCACTCCTATATAATTAGAATTTCTTATATTTTCAGCGAACACAAACAAAGCAGCTACAGCGATATTCCATCTTCGTCGATCAGGGATGTTTTTATTGATCCCTTGTTCTAAATGTTAAAACAACCCAAGATCTCCCAGAGCAGTAGTTAACCATTAAGAAGAGCCAGTTCTTGTTACCATAGCAACACACTGTTTACTGTTAGCGGTTAGCATTTAGCCCTTTGTTGTATTTGTAGTTACAGTCAACCGTTTTAGCACTGATTTAAAGTGAGTAAAGGTCAATACCAATTACTTTCTATAAATCCAGTGAAAAACTAAACAAATTCCATTGGTTTGAATTGGAGCAGTCAAAATAACGGGTTCTGGGAGTCCTTTGTTAAACAGCCACATTTAGCCTAAAATCACACTTTTCCTCCCAAACACGTAGCTACTGCTTGGAGCTCTTATTTACTTGGTTAGTGGTAAATGGTCCGGTATTTCCCCATACTTCAGAGTTTGAAAACAGAGTTGACGTCCCACCACGGCCACACACCGGCCTGTCAGCGCCCGTCATGTTGGGCTCGACTCCCGCTCACCTGCAGACATCTCCTAAAGCATTCCTAATCTGATGTGATATTTGCTGCAACATAAAGTAGGCCAAAGCCGAGGAGGAAATGCTGAGAAATGGACCTCCCAGACTGTCTGTAATGGGCACTCCGCTGTGGCTCCCTTTAAAAGCTAACTTACCACAAGCTAATGGTGCCGTATGAATGTTTAAACACATATGGACGGGATCAAAGATTTGTAGATGTGCGTGACAGCGGCCGCCTGCTCCCCGCGGCCTCTGCCAAAGATCCCAGAGTGAAGCCGAGCTGAAACGACCCCACGACCGGAACATTAGCGGTCTGCGTCGGAGCGAGCGAGCGGAGAGCGAGGTATGAGGTGTGGAAGAAGCAGTTTTCACGCCGTGCATTCTGCCAAGTTTGAGATTTGAAATGATACAAATGCAGAGGAGAGATACAGGAGGCTGCAGTTTACGAGATGCAGTGTCGCCGAGCCAAAATGGAGTCTGCCCAAAACAACACGCCGGATCCTTCTGCAAATATGGCTCAGGCCTTGGCTTGGAGAGCGAGTGCAGATATAGCCCAGCGTCCCCGGGGGGTGGTCAGGTGACACGGCTCGATGCCTGACTGAGCCTTAATATACAGGACTGCAGCAGAAGAAGAAGCATTTCACAAACTGTAATGTCTGCTCTAAATCAGCTCAACGAGAGGCAGAAAGTCACGGTTTTATTCAGACGTAGGTTCAGAGGATTCAAAGGCCGTGAACGTGGAAGATACTAATCTATAATTACACAGTGCATTTTTACAGACTAAGGTCATAAAGCGCTTTACAAAGAGAGGTTGAATATCTCTAATCATTTCTTTATTGTATTAGTTTTATGGAAACATTGCATTTTTGACCTGCATTTCTCTGCAGATTTATAAATGCCTTAGTATCAGATTTATGTCCAGATTAGAGAAATACAGCTGATTATTTTATAAATATAAACTGCAGTTACAGGGAATGGTTTGTCTTTGTCGTCTTTGACCAATGGGAAAGAAGCTCCTGGGTTCGACTCCACCTCCAGACGGGGACTTTTCTCATTCAGTTTGTAGCATGTCCTCCCCCTGTCTGCATAGGTTTCCTCCAGGTGCTCCGGTTCCCCATGCTACTAGAAAGTCCACTACAGTAGATATTGCTGGTGTTGGTGGAGGCTTCTGTGCAGTGGAGTTATAATTCTGCTGCTGTGGTCTCTCACTGTTCTCCTTTCAGGCCTCGCTTTTTGTGGATTATTGTGTGTGTTCTTTTTTACAGTGTGCGTCTCATGCGCTGTGTGTATTCTCCAACAACATCACACACATCTTAGAATCGCTCGTAAAACACAATAGTTACGAGCAATAGTTAAGTCAGATGCAAACTTTTGTGGCGTCTGTACCGTGTTTAGTCCTCTGTGTCCTGCACGGCTTTCGACAGCTGCAGCAGCACTCAGACCTACAACGAGCAGGTTTGATATCTCTGCGATCGCACCTCAGCCGCCGTGAGTCCAGGTGTTAGAAAAGTGTAGAGTGTGAGGAGTTTGACAGCCTTAAAACATTCAGCTGCTGCTTCAGAGATTTTAGTTTAAAGTAACCATCGTCGTGAACAAGAAACCACCGAAGTCGCTTGTTCTTTGTGTTTCCTCGGTCTGTGAAATGTGGCGAATGAATAAAGAACAAAACAATAACACATATGCACAGGACCCATGGACACAGAGGGCCTCTATCCCCACCGCTGTCAGACTGTACAATAAGGTCAGATATGTCTCACAGTGGAGAGTCATCGCTGCTCATTACAGCAGAGAAAGACAGTCTAATATTTAAGATAATAAACAGACATTATAATTAAAATAAGGTAAAGAATAAAATAGCTATAATGTCACTTGGTTCAGGAGTATTTACAGATGTGTTTTTGTTCTTAAGCAGCAGAGAAAATGAGCAGAATAAATATAATCAGTAATAATATCGACAGGTAAAGTGACTGGTGACAATGACACTGACTCAGCAGTCCTCGTTTAACAGTCTGACAGCAGCAGAAACCTCGTGTGGCTATTGCCACTCTTTCTTTTATTCATTCATTTTACTGCCACTTCTTATTGTACATAGTTACATCCTGCACAGACTCTGTCTTTAACCTTTAACACAAATCTGAGATGATGACAATAAATCAGGCCATGTTTTCTGTTCAACCTCATAAACCGGATAAAAACTTTAAAACTTCCACCTGCCTGAGTTTGGGTTTGGGTTTGTACTTTGCTGAGGTCCATAAATGCCTTACTTTTTTGAGGTCCATAAATGCCTTACTTTGCTGAGGTCCATAAATGCCTTACTTTGCTGAGGTCCATAGATGCGTTACTTTGCCGAGGTCCATAAATGCGTTACTTTTTTTAGGTCCATAAATGTGTTACTTTGCTGAGGTCCATAAATGCCTTACTTTGCTGAGGTCCATAAATGCCTTACTTTGCTGAGGTCCATAAATGCGTTACTTTTTTTAGGTCCATAGATGCGTTACTTTGCCGAGGTCCATAAATGCGTTACTTTTTTTAGGTCCATAAATGTGTTACTTTGCTGAGGTCCATAAATGCGTTACTTTGCTGAGGTCCATAAATGCCTTACTTTGCTGAGGTCCATAGATGCGTTACTTTGCTGAGGTCCATAAATGCCTTACTTTGCTGAGGTCCATAGATGCGTTACTTTGCTGAGGTCCATAAATGTGTTACTTTGCTGAGGTCCATAAATGCGTTACTTTGCTGAGGTCCATAGATGCGTTACTTTGCTGAGGTCCATAAATGCGTTACTTTGCTGAGGTCCATAGATGCGTTACTTTGCTGAGGTCCATAAATGTGTTACTTTGCTGAGGTCCATAAATGCGTTACTTTGCTGAGGTCCATAGATGCGTTACTTTGCTGAGGTCCATAAATGTGTTACTTTGCTGAGGTCCATAGATGTGTTACTTTGCTGAGGTCCATAAATGTGTTACTTTGCTGAGGTCCATAAATGCGTTACTTTGCTGAGGTCCATAGATGCGTTACTTTGCTGAGGTCCATAGATGCGTTACTTTGCTGAGGTCCATAGATGCGTTACTTTGCTGAGGTCCATAAATGTGTTACTTTGCTGAGGTCCATAAATGTGTTACTTTGCTGAGGTCCATAGATGCGTTACTTTGCTGAGGTCCATAAATGTGTTACTTTGCTGAGGTCCATAAATGCGTTACTTTGCTGAGGTCCATAGATGCGTTACTTTGCTGAGGTCCATAAATGTGTTACTTTGCTGAGGTCCATAAATGCGTTACTTTGCTGAGGTCCATAGATGCGTTACTTTGCTGAGGTCCATAGATGTGTTACTTTGCTGAGGTCCATAAATGTGTTACTTTGCTGAGGTCCATAGATGCGTTACTTTGCTGAGGTCCATAGATGCGTTACTTTGCTGAGGTCCATAAATGTGTTACTTTGCTGAGGTCCATAAATGTGTTACTTTGCTGAGGTCCATAAATGTGTTACTTTGCTGAGGTCCATAAATGTGTTACTTTGCTGAGGTCCATAGATGTGTTACTTTGCTGAGGCCCATAAATGCGTTACTTTGCTGAGGTCCATAGATGCGTTACTTTGCTGAGGTCCATAAATGTGTTACTTTGCTGAGGTCCATAGATGTGTTACTTTGCTGAGGTCCATAAATGTGTTACTTTGCTGAGGTCCATAAATGCGTTACTTTGCTGAGGTCCATAGATGCGTTACTTTGCTGAGGTCCATAGATGCGTTACTTTGCTGAGGTCCATAGATGCGTTACTTTGCTGAGGTCCATAAATGTGTTACTTTGCTGAGGTCCATAAATGTGTTACTTTGCTGAGGTCCATAGATGCGTTACTTTGCTGAGGTCCATAAATGCGTTACTTTGCTGAGGTCCATAAATGCGTTACTTTGCTGAGGTCCATAGATGCGTTACTTTGCTGAGGTCCATAAATGTGTTACTTTGCTGAGGTCCATAGATGTGTTACTTTGCTGAGGTCCATAAATGTGTTACTTTGCTGAGGTCCATAGATGCGTTACTTTGCTGAGGTCCATAGATGTGTTACTTTGCTGAGGTCCATAAATGTGTTACTTTGCTGAGGTCCATAAATGCGTTACTTTGCTGAGGTCCATAGATGTGTTACTTTGCTGAGGCCATAAATGTGTTACTTTGCTGAGGTCCATAAATGTGTTACTTTGCTGAGGTCCATAAATGCGTTACTTTGCTGAGGTCCATAGATGCGTTACTTTGCTGAGGTCCATAAATGCCTTACTTTGCTGAGGTCCATAAATGTGTTACTTTGCTGAGGTCCATAAATGTGTTACTTTGCTGAGGTCCATAGATGCGTTACTTTGCTGAGGTCCATAAATGTGTTACTTTGCTGAGGTCCATAAATGTGTTACTTTGCTGAGGTCCATAGATGCGTTACTTTGCTGAGGTCCATAGATGCGTTACTTTGCTGAGGTCCATAAATGCCTTACTTTGCTGAGGTCCATAGATGCGTTACTTTGCTGAGGTCCATAAATGTGTTACTTTGCTGAGGTCCATAGATGTGTTACTTTGCTGAGGTCCATAAATGTGTTACTTTGCTGAGGTCCATAGATGCGTTACTTTGCTGAGGTCCATAGATGTGTTACTTTGCTGAGGTCCATAAATGCGTTACTTTGCTGAGGTCCATAGATGTGTTACTTTGCTGAGGTCCATAGATGTGTTACTTTGCTGAGGTCCATAAATGTGTTACTTTGCTGAGGTCCATAAATGCGTTACTTTGCTGAGGTCCATAAATGCGTTACTTTGCTGAGGTCCATAGATGCGTTACTTTGCTGAGGTCCATAGATGCGTTACTTTGCTGAGGTCCATAAATGCGTTACTTTGCTGAGGTCCATAGATGCGTTACTTTGCTGAGGTCCATAGATGCGTTACTTTGCTGAGGTCCATAGATGCGTTACTTTGCTGAGGCCCATAAATGCCTTACTTTGCTGAGGTCCATAGATGCGTTACTTTGCTGAGGTCCATAGATGCGTTACTTTGCTGAGGTCCATAGATGCGTTACTTTGCTGAGGTCCATAGATGCGTTACTTTGCTGAGGCCCATAAATGCCTTACTTTGCTGAGGTCCATAGATGCCGTTAGCGTAGCTTCCTCCGGCGGCTACACAAAGCTCAGATCACATGCCTCTGCTCTGACGTCTCTTTGTGGCAGAGAATGCACTGATGCAGGTTGTGCAGGTTGTGCGGGTTGTGCGGGTTGTGTAGGTTGTGCAGGTTGTGTAGGTTGTGCAGGTTGTGCGGGTTGTGTGGGTTGTGCAGGTTGTGCGGGTTGTGTAGGTTGTGTAGGTTGTGCGGGTTGTGCAGGTTGTGTAGGTTGTGCAGGTTGTGCGGGTTGTGCGGGTTGTGTGGGTTGTGCGGGTTGTGCGGGTTGTGTAGGTTGTGTAGGTTGTGTGGGTTGTGCGGGTTGTGCAGGTTGTGCAGGTTGTGCAGGTTGTGCGGGTTGTGCAGGTTGTGCAGGTTGTGCAGGTTGTGCAGGTTGTGCAGGTTGTGTAGGTTGTGCAGGTTGTGCGGGTTGTGTGGGTTGTGCAGGTTGTGC